CTCCACTTCCTTGCTTATATACCTGAGGTGACGAGTGACACTCAGCTCGGGAGTAAGACAAATGCATCCATTCATGAAAATGCAAGCGGGGCACAATTCCCCTCCGCGGAGTATGGAAATAGTTAAATCAGCAGCATGTTTTCTAGCTGCAAACACGTGGTAATATGCTGTATGTAGTGTTTATCTATCCAGCCAAGTCTTTCGAGACTCCTGACTCCTTTGGTTTGGGCTCGTGTCGAAGCAACAAATATGTACTGGATCAAGCTTTTGTGTGCTTGTAGGTTTGGCTTGTTTTAGACAGCTCTGCAAAGCATTTTAACTCGCTGTCCTGAACAAGCATAAAACCCATTGAAAGCAATTGTGTGTTAACTGTGTGCTGAATTAGATATTTGTAATGTCTGGGTTTCTGTGCTCTTAGTTTAAAGGGAGGCGAAAAGCACGCCACATCTTTTTTTTCTTTTCTTTTTTTTTTTTTATGGCTTACCACATCCAATTATGTCCTTTGGTTTTGCTGTACTTCACTTTCTATCATGGAGATTAGATCCATCGCTTCTGTAATTACTTATCAAGAGTAGATGTTTAAAAAATGAATTGTGACAGTAGCAGTTTCCCCAGCAAAGGAAAAATAAATAGCTAACGTTTATTAACCATGCTTGCTGCAGCTTTAGGGATGGCAATGGTAGCCTTTTGACTGGTCCAGGCTGAGATATCTCAATAGCTATAAAATGGATTTTTTTGGACCTGCTTACCTTTCCTGTAGCGCTTTATGTGTTGAACATTTGAGATGATGAGATTCAACTTTATTGTCATTACACATATACAAGTATAGAGTTACAAAATGAGGTTTGGCATCTCACCAGAAGTGCAATAAGCAGAAAGAAGAATCTGTGCTATGTACAGTAATTACAAAATTTACAGATGTAGACTAAAAAAAAGTGAATTATTGGGTATATATGGCTGGATTAATGGGATGCTATAAATATAGATAAATGCTATAAATATAAGTATATTCTTCAGATTAAGGTGCAGTGAGCATGCTATACTAGATTACAGATAATATACAGAATTTCTGATTTGACCAACTATTCTATGGATTCCCATTGATTCCAGTTAATTCATGTTCTTTTCAGGATGAACTTGACCAACAAACTATAAGTTTGCTCCGGCTTTACTTCGGTCGAGTGTTAATAATTAGCTACCGCTAGCGTGCTAACAAACCTGTTTTGCATCTCAGTATGAAATGACTCCAACATTGTTGGACTCACTATAGGCAGTTAAAAACAAGTGAAAAAAGCATTGCCTTTTCCCTCAGGGTCCAAAACTACCCACAGTGCAACTCGGCAACTGATCGGTACCGTCCATTTACATGCTCTTTTTTAATTGCGTTGTTCTTGATGTAGTAAGCATTTTGGCATAATGACATTAGCCTTGGTTTTTAAGTACAGCCTTGAAATGCAGCTAGCCTAGCTGATTACTTTTTGAGTTTTTTTAACGGTTTTTTAAATTGAATTCCGTTACAGATGTAATTTCTTTGCATACTTTGTTGTGGTCTTGTTTTTAAAATTGTTCCACAGAATACTCAAGAGCCAGTTCATAATGGTGGAAAAATTGATGGTCGCAATTATGTGAATGAAAATAGAAATAAGTGGAAAGTCTGTTTTAATTTCTTCTCATATTGGTCAAATTTTGTTTGGCTTTTTTTGATCATCCGCAGATCAGTCCCTAACACGTCTGACCTTTCAGGCTTCACCCTGTCGCATGTTTTGAGCCAGGCATGTTGAAGTTTGCTGTCTAGTTAACAGGAGGGAGGGAGGGAGGACGATCATGGACGGGAGGGGTGGTGAAGAGGAGGAGGGGAAGGAGGAGGGGGACTTCAGTGGAGAGTGTGTAATAGGACACCAGCCCTCTCTGTCTTTTCGCTCTCCTCTCCTCTCTCTCTCTCTCTCTCTCTCTCTCTCTCAGTCAAGCCAGCTCAGTGAGCCCTTAGATGGAATAGCAGCATTTTTCTTCTTTGCTGTAACAGAAATAAGCTGGAATCAAGGTGTCATAAGGGGGATAAATAACATCCAGATAACTGGGATTTTTTTTTTCCAAGTCTGGGACCAGCCCTGGAGGAAGCCCCCCCCCTCCCCCCCCTGAAAGGTGAGTGCTGGACCATGCAGGGACTGGATCTGGATTCTGTCCTTGTAGGTATAGAGGGGTCTTTACCTGCTTTACTGCACCGTAGAGGGGTGGAGGAGATCACACTGTGGAGGCAGAAGGGAGGTGGCAGGTAGGAGGCAAACAGGTGCAGAGAACCAGTGAGAATAGGGAGAAGTAAACTAAATCAGACAGTTGTAGAGTCTGACAAATTTATCATATTTTACTTGCTTGCCACTTGAAAATTGTGTAATCTTACATCAGACTTCTTGTTTAATTCCCAAAAAATTTCCAGGATCTGAGTCATTTTTTTTTTTTTTGCTGGACATCCTGAAGTTAAATAGAGATGAGTATATTTAATTTTGTCGAATGTTTAGCATTTTTCTTTAATCTTATTGGACGAGATAAAAGCTTACCTTACTGTCTTATTATCTAAAAGTCCATTTGGTGCTTTAAAAAGGATATACAAGCTAATACTGACAGAACATCTGTGTTTTTAAATGGCTATTTGGTAAGGCTGGGATTTTTGTATAACTTTATCGCAACGCTTTCTAGTCTGGTTTCAGCTCCTACCAACCCTTCCTCTCTTATTTAATACTGTAAAAAATTGATTTCTCTGACTCACAATTGTCTGAATGCTGCCGTCACAAGATTCCAAACCTTAATCAGTGGATCTTGTGTTTTAATACTCGTAATGAACAGTTTGGTGTTCTTGGCAGTGCTTGAAGAGTCCCATGTGTGCTTGAGGCAGCGTGTGGTTGTAACAGAGACAGTGACGACTGAATGACAGGGTGTGGTATGAACACACGCTGTCCTGTTAGAGTCAGGACAGTGGGGGAAAGTTTTCAGTTTGAAATCTTCAGAAAAGGAAAGTTAAACCTGAATCGTTAAATCTATGTAAAAAAAAACAATCCAGACGGGAAGACTGTGTGCTTCAACTTCAAGCTGTAAAAATTGTCTACATGTGTTTGAAGCATTAACAGAAGCAGATGGGATCCAAATAATCACAAACCCTGTTTTTGGAAGAAGCCGGACTATTTGCTTGTACAGCTCTGCAGATTCATCAATATTAGTTTTTTGAGCCATGCCTCTGAAATAGTGAGATGGAAAATTCATTAGGCTGTCTGCCGAGAAACGCACAATAAACACAATTACCATTACACCCCACTTGAAATATAACACTCCGCTCACTTGTTCTGACCTCCTTTTTGTTCAGACATTTAATTGCTGTCATGAAGATTCCTGGCACTCTCTGCACTGGAATTTCTGGAATATTAATTGGGAGTATTTCTTTTTTTTTCTTTTCGTTCAGAACAACAAACAATAACAAACCTTTTTATTTCTTCAGAGACCCACTTATTCAGAGTTATAGTGGTGGTCCTGATGGTGAGCTCTTTCATGTCACAGGGTGGAGATCACCATGCACATGGTGGGTTTTTTTTGGAAGCAAAGAAAGTGTTTAAACCTGACCTGGTGGGATGTTATAGGAGGCTAATTCTCTTGACAATTAGTTAAGCAGGTGTGAGACTGACGTTCCCAGGGAGAGGGTAAGGGAAGGGGGTAGATGACGCTGTAAGCACTTCAAATAAACAGTTTAAAGGGCGGATACACTCAAAATAACACCATCAAAATCAAGTTATTCCACTTTTTGGGACTTTTTTGGACTCAGTGCTGACGACAGGCAAGAATGTCAGCATTGAGTTTGTGAAACCCAAGACCACACTGAACCAAAGTTAACATACTTTAAATTCTTGCTTTCTTCAATTTTTACACGTTTCAACTACAGTATACTTTAGGTTACACAAATATTTTGTTAAAACCCATCAAACATAAGTGTAACGTTAAGTTTAGACAGCAAAACCACTTAGTGAAAGTGAGGGAAACAACGTAGTCACGGCTGTAAAAACTGAATTAGTAGTTGGGCCGTGATGGTGTGTAAACTCCAGTTTGACTAAGTCCCAACCTCAACACCTTTTTACTTTCTGCTTTGGGAAACAAAAGCAAACTTACTGCTGTATTGACACTTACTGTGAGCTTTGGATGCAAATCATGACATTTAAAACAGGCAGAATTTCCTTGATTCCAGATTGTGTCCCTACTGTTGCACACTTTTTCACATTTTGTACAATGTTTGTGGACCCCACTAGCGTAAAAATCCAGAAACTTGTGTCCCCATGTGTGTGGATAAACAAGAAAATATGTTTACTTTGATCCACCTTTTCACAAATGAGTTATTCCGGTTCCTGTTCCCAAAGCTGTAGATATTAAAGCTCCTGTGAGGAACTTTGGGTTTGTGTTGATTTTGGCGCCCTCTATGCCCCTATACATGTTTGCATAAGTGTCTTTTGACAAAAATGTAATCCTGCTGTATTTTAACAGTCAAAAGGATCCCTCATTGTGAATCTTTGCTGTGGAAAATTAAAATTAAAAATTACTTTAGCTTGCTGTTTAACATTTTTCTGACACCTACCCCCACGGCTGCAGTTACAGGCTTTAAAAATACAATATCTAAGTTGACAATCTTATCGATGATTGTCTGGTTCGCTTTTTTTAAGTCATTGGGAGGCATCAGTTTGAATTTCGGTCTGTTTCATAACCGGTTAGAAACTACTCACAGGAGCTTTAAACCTGTCTTAACTTACAACAAGGAGCACTTGAGACTTGAATTGCTTGGCTTAGCTGCCGTGAAACTTGAAAGCAAAAAAATACATTCAAATCTCTGACCTGGGTTACAGGACACTTGTATTAACCGAGATCAACTGTGGTGGGTTTAGAAATGTCAGAGACACATATGTCAAGCGTGAGCGCTATTAGCATGGCTAGATATTACTCTGAATAAGCGTCATGAAACAACCCTTTGAGGGTGGTAACAAAGGTCAGAAAAGACAGAGTCTTTCGCCTCAGGATGGGATCAGAAAAGCCATCTGCCTGGAAGCTGATGTTGTTGGAGACGCCCCAGCTGAAGCAGGCTCTGGGGTGAGGGTGTGTGTGTGTGTGTGTGTGTCTGAGGATGATGCAGTAAGAGAGGGGCTGCAGTACAGCGGCAGGGGCCCCATGCTGTTTTATTTCTCTCAAGTGCAGCCAAAGAGTGCTCATTCCTCTGCGGGTTTTCCATCTGTTATCCGTATGCACCTGAACGATAGAATTCCACCTCAGCTATATATCAGTCACGCCTCACTCCACCGCAACACACCCATAGCTCAACCTATTTGTACACTACACCCCGAACTGAAATTTTCATAGCAATCACGCAGTGCTGCTATCTCAAAGACATCAATTTTTTATTTCACATCTATAAGCCATGAGAACACAGATCCAACGCCCTTGTACAAACAGTATTTTCTTTGTGCATGCAGTTGGTTCAGTGTCTTTGTCTAATGCAATGTGTTTGGTAGTGTAACAGCCAGTTTCGGTGCTTAAAACAGCCTTTGTTCAGCAGAAAGATTCGGCCTTGCAGGAGTAAAGTGTCCCGCTGGCAGTACAGTACCTGCCGCCATCAATTATTGAGATGCTCTTGTCCTGTTGTGAAGAAAAGGGAACGAGGAGAGGCTGAGGGGAGAGTTTCTTCGGCAGCTCTTTTGTGCAGATTTAACTCATCTATATTTAAGAGAGGTACAAAGTAAGGATACAGTAAGTGGAGGGATTTAACTGACATGTTGTCCTCTCGCCTGTCTTCACTCAGAACAGTCAGAAAATCAAGGAAAAGCAGTCATGTCGTCTCTGAGCCAATGATAGTTCATTTTTGAAAGATTAGAGAAATGACAAAGGGTGGTATTGGTTTTTAATTCATTCATTCAAGAAAGAAAAGGCGAGCTTTAGCAGCAATCGCTAAGAGTGTTTGTTGGGTTTAGCTGTATTAAAAGTGTTTTAATGTGAAAAATGTTTGGCTTTCTCTTTCCATCACCTCCCAACAGGCACTGCTGACTGGTCGAGTTTCCTGAGCCGTGCAGTCATGGGCAGGCCGGAGGGGTTGGCCAGGCCACCTCTGGTGTCAGCTATGGCGCTTTCCCTCCTGGCTCTCTCTTTCCTCTCCAGCGGGGTCCGCGGCCTCCCTCAGCCCCTGCCAAGAGTCTTCCTTTCCTTTGAGGGTAAGAAAAAAAATAACAACCCCACTCCCCCTTTAAAATGAATTTACACCATCCACTTGGCCCTTTTCCCATTGTTGTGCTTCTCTGAGGATGTAATGAGGTTGCAGAGATGCCGTGTGTTTCAGGCCGCCTAACGCTAAACAAATGCTTGGTAATCAAAGCGAGCCGAGGGGGCCGCATCGTTAAAGAGCATGTGTACGGCTAACCTCGACTTTGCAGACTTTATTCAAGAGTTGTTTTCAAGTCTAGAATAATCTTTGTCAGTTTGTACACATGGATTGAATCGTTTTGATTGCAGAGGCCTTAAATCTCTCTATTTTTTTTTTTTTTTTGGAAGATCCTTGTCCATCCTTTGTCGTGCGGTGTGTCAGCAGAAAGTCAGCGCTCTGCAGGAGGCGGCACAGCTTGAGAGAACTACCCTGAATCTGTTCCTCGTTAAACTTTAATCACACCCCGCCATGCCGCAGACCTCTGGGCATTGCTGCTGCCTCTGGATTTGATTCTCTTGTTTTATTTAATTTCTTTGACATTATTTTATGCATTTTTGATCCCCCCCCCCACACTCTTTGAAACGAGAGTGTAGTGTATAAGGATAGGACGGTTTAGCCTGTGTGTGCGTGTGCATGCCTGTGTGTTGTGGGAGTCGGTGTGGATGAGCTGACCGATCGCTCATGTCGTTGGGAGTGGTGCAGTAACCTTTTTTCTCAGTGGCTGGATAGTGTGCAGGGGCTGAAGGAGACGTTTGATCACCTTTCACTACCTCTCGCTGTGGAAGAGAGCAGCTGAGGCTGTCTGTCAGCAAAGGTTTCTGCACGAAGAGAGTTAATAAGGCCTTACAGCGTACGAGCTGGTTTACTTTTCTTTGCTCCCACTCCCTCTCTCAAGTCTTTTCCCCTATTTGGTCTCATTCTTTCCTCGAACGTTTTACTCTTTCCCCTTCTTTCTTTGCCTTCCATGCTTTCAGGTTTCTCTGATTATTGTTTCATTCCAAATACCTGGAGAATTTATTTTGTCTTTTTCTGCTCTGTAAACTGTATGAGACATCGAATGTGGCAGTAAGTTTCAGGAGAAAGAGCCCAACGCACGATGATTATGGGACAATAAACCTGCACCATCGCTGTCATATCTTTAGTTTTGACCGCTCGTGTCACATTATTCACTCACTCGTCGCTCCACCGGTGTTTCCAAACAGTTGGCTTAAAATGTCAGAGGTGGCCGAGTCGAGAATGAGCCAATCCCTGTAATCCTGTAACGCTTGATTCCCTTTCAGAGGATTAGATTTGATATGTGTTAGTCACCGTAGCCGCTGCAGTGAGGACCATAAAAGGAGAATTTTGTATCTGCAGTGCACTTATTCTCTTACAGACTCTGGACTCTGAATCAGTGTTTATCTGTGAGACGAGTTAAATGTTTGTTTCACTTCAGGGATACGATCAGGTAAATTATTGAAGAACGAGCGGCAAGGAGCACAGGGATTTTTTGTTGAAAACTTGAGGTGGAAATTTACATTCCAGCTTCGATTTAGTACTTGAAATTTAAACCTCAGTGACTAACAGGAAGTTAAGAGAAGTTTGTTTTGTAGTTGGAAATCATTGTGAACTAAGGAGGATGGTCATAACTCAGGAAAGGCAAGACGCAGATGTAAGGAGACTCTTATGGTCCAAGGTTAAGGCTCATTTCTCCCAAAAGCACTCAAAATTGGGGAAGAATTCAGGGAGTTTGGGTTTCATTCAAAGCAGTCAGACAGATGAATGAAGTGTCATGGAAGAAGACTTGGAAAGTCTAATGTCCACGAGAGAGGGAGAAGGAGCAGGTGGTTTGGCACCTGCTGGGTGGCCAAAAAAAAAAAAGTTAGCCCTGTAGTCTGGCTCCTTCTGCTCCGAGATGTGAGGGGCCTGTTAATGATCCCAAGCTGGAGTGAACTAACCCAAGAAAATAAACCGATGAGTTAGACGCTCAGGTTGGACAGAGATCTGGACGCTCCAGTATCTTCCCCCCCCCCCTCCCCTTTTTTCCCTCCTCATATCTCTGCTGAAATCCAATCCACGGCTATGGCAGGTTCACGGGACTCCCGGCGCTGCCTCGCGTCCTGCGGAGAAGTTGCTGTCTCCAACATTCCTCTTTCCCCTCGCTCTGCTTGCTCGTGTGTTCTTCAGGCGAACACAGCCAGACCACAATTAAAAACCGCATAATAAACAGAGAAAAATGCAGCTAACCCAAATAATAAACTTTCAAGTGGTGCCTTTTTTCTGTTCCGTGCCTCAGATAATAAACTACAGGCCCCCCTTCCTGACTGCAGAACTAATCAGGGATTCCCGGAGTGATAAAATATAATTACCTTATGTTATGGATGGATTCTCAAGGAACTGGTTCACAAGTTTCCTTGCTCATCAGAAGCTACTGACTACACCTGTGATGTTCTCCCTCAGCTGATGGCTGACGACAATCAGCTGGGCTGGGAGACTACATAGGGAGGTGGAAGTTTCTCTGCTCAGTTGGTTTTATGTTTGTTCATAGAAATGTTAACCACTATTGACTTACAGGGTCTTCTTTTGTATGACTTTCTTAAGACTTTTATGGAAAGGTTTCAGAGTGTCCTGTTATATCGAACATCATGACTATCCAGTGAAAGAGTTCCCACACACGGTTGGATAAAGGCATGTTTGTTCATAGAAATGTTAAGACTATTTTTTTTCCCCAGGAAATCAGGGAGAGAGAGAGAGTAGGGAATGAAATGCGGGAAAAAAGCCACAGGTGGGATTCAAACCTGGGCTGCCCGCTTGGAAGACTACAGCCTCAATATGTGGGTCGCGCGCACTAACCACTGCACCACCAGCGCCCCAAATGTGAAGACTCTCTGATCAGTGTCTGCAGCAGAGATCGTTCGTTATGTGGACACAGATCTTGAGAATCCATTGATATCACTGGTGTAATACATTGATATTAACAAGCCAAAACTTGGAGGACCAGTATTATAAATGCTGAGAAATACAGTACATGTTATTTGATGCCTATTGGTTCTGCTACTGTATCATATTTTGTTGCCAAAATGCCAAGAATGGTGGGATCAAAAATTTAGCCTCATTTATCCCTTGAGTTGGCTGTCAGGGCAGAGGACTGTGTTTATGATCGGGGTCATTTAACCTCATCAGCGGTCTCACCCTGTACTGGCAAAACCATTATATAATACAGTATTCATTTGAGGTTATATAAATATGTATGCCAATCATGAAATATGTAGTTTAAAAAGTGAGTGACTGAGAACCTGGTTTGAGACATCGAAGAGATTGATTAAGGCAGTGTCTGCAACTTAATGAGCACTCCTTCACAATGGTTTGAGCTCACAACCAGAGATCCAGGAACCAGGCTACACCAGACCCCTTTTTCACTTTTTACATGCCTCATTAATACTCCCAGAAAGCCCCATCATTCATACAGCCAATGATACTGTTCCTGCACTGCAGGTGGATGTCGGTCTGTTAAGGAGGTTTACTTGGTGGTGAGGGTTTGCAGAAGGGCATGTGTATCACTGTCAGAGAAAGAGTGTGTTTGTCTGTGCTAAGTGCCCTTAGGTGCATTCCTCACTAGACTTGATTGCATTAAGAGGCAGAACTTTGTGCTAAATCATTGTTTAAACCATGTGGCTCTCCAGCATGGCAAGTAATGAAATAACGTTTACAAGCTTGCTTTTGCACGGTGACCACGAATACTTGAAGCTTAACAAACCAAGACTATTTTAAGATTCCTGTCAATCTGAACACTTCTGCATTTTCTTAATTCCTTTGGGAGAATATCTGCTGATGTAGTTTCGACCGATATAAAACAATCTCCTGCAAGATGTCACATTTCAACCACTGTTGATTTACAGGGTCTTCTTTTGCATGACTTTCTTAAGACTTTTATGGAAAGGTTTCAGAGTGTCCTGTTATATCGAACATCATGACTATCCAGCGAAAGAGATCCTACACCTGGTTGGATGAAGGCATGTGTCTTCTTACGGGGTCAACAAAAGATCAAAATGTCAAAGACCAACCCTGACAAGTAGCCAGAAGCAGGCCAGGATGTTTCTTTCTGTGCCTTCAGGTTAATTCCTTTTTAACATAAGACAGCTTCCTGTCTCTGTCTTGCATTAGACTTGCACATTAGCATCTACACTTTCCTGTGGTAAACATAATCAAGCATGTAAAGTACAATCAGCGATGCTCTGTGATTATGGAGAGTTATTCACAGGGCAAAGTATAGGCCTATCAGAGCTGTCAACAAGGGCAAACAGAGACGTGCTTCAAACAGCTAAAGGTTATCAAAGCATGTATGTGTGTTGTCCTAGCTTGAATATTGGTAAAAATGGTATGAGGAGAACTCTTTCTCCCACAAGATGTCCATCTAATGTGCAAGGATGTTTCATTTAGAGTCCACTGAGCTCCAGCTTGCACCGCCTCAGGGCTTACAGCGTTTGAGATGTTTGACAGCTCCACTGTCAGTGTGCCTTCCTCTGTCCATCCATCTGTGTTAATCCAGTCCTGCGTCTGACCTTGCTAGCTCTGATGAATGTTTTATTATTCCTCCTGCACAACATGTTGAAAGGTAATCAATGCCCATCAATACAGACAAAGACGGCATCTCACTAAGGATAGCCAAAATCAGATGGAAAATCCTTGGATTTAAGGTCAGGATTATCATAAATCAATGACTTGTGTTTGTAAAATTATAAACGCAAGTTTGTTTCTACTCATGTCATGTTTTGGAGTGCACAATATTTAAATGTCCAGTTTCTACTCTCATATTGGAGCTTTTCTATCAGCTGAGCTTTCCATGACAACTCAGGGGCAAATTATGTTCAGTATCTCTGGATAAAAGCCTCAGACAAATTCCCATTGCCATTTTTGGAATCATGTAATGACTTGAATGCTAGTCTAAAGAGGACTACAAACAGTTTCAACAGGTGGGGTGCTGGTTTAGCTCAGTTGGTAGAGCAAGGTGCCCCATGTTCATTGCACTGG